TTAAAAAAAAAACAAAACAAAAAAAAAAAAAAAAAAAAAGTCAAAAACTGTTTTTGAAAACTAAAAATCAAACTTTAAAATTCAATTTACTACAAAATTAAGAGGCGTTTAATGATAGAATTTTTCTTTTTTTGGTGAACATTTTATAGAATTGTTTGAGCCTAGGTCCTACTCAACATATTTTATTCCAATAAGTACTGTTACTTTATTTTTTTATCAGAAATACCCCACACATATAAATAAATAAATAACTAATATACATATACATAATTTTTTTAAAAAAAAAAAAAAAACTGAAACAAAAATTGTTAGGTGCTCTTGTGCATCTCATGGTAATGCTATCATCGACTGCTCACCAACACCATGCCTTATCAATGCCCCAATATAAAATTGTGACCCCTTCTTTCCCCCAATCACAACTCTCTTGTGGCACTACTGACTATGTTAGGGGTGAGCATGGTTCGGATTGGATCGGATTAGGGTAAAATCAGAACTAATCTGTTGTCTACGGTTTCTGAAAAATTGGAATCAATCTAATCCGTTTAAATCGTGGAACCAATCCGAACCAATCCATTTCAACACGGATTGGATCGGTTTAGAACCACGGATTCACATAATTAAATAACAAAAATATATATATATATATATATAATACTTTAATTTTATAAAAATATAAACATAGCGCTATATTAGTTCTACAATAGCAACATGTTTTTTTATAATAGCGACATAATGTTCTAGAATTTAAACAATCATAAAAAAACTAGTTTCATCATAAGTATTTAGATCATTACAAATTAAAACTAAAAACTAAAAAACAAAAGTAATAAAAGAAGATATTATACGAGGTTTAGGTTTGAGTTTAGATTTTATATAGAATAAGAGAAGATACTATGGGGGAGGATGTATAATAAAAATATAGACTATTTGTATACGGTCCGGATCGGTTCCAATCCGGAACCGTGAGGTTCAATCCGGAACCAATCCGTGGACTACGGATTTTTAATTCTTCAATCCGGAACCGAACCACGGATTCGAAAAACCAATCCAAACCTATCGGATTGGACTGGACTGGATCGGATTACGGATTTTACGGATTTCTTGCTCAGCCCTAGGTTGTGTGAAGGTGGGAATAATGGTGATGGTGTTGTGAAATTAATAAAAATTTAATTGAAAAAAACATTTTTTGTTTTTTAAAAGTAACAAACAACAAACTTCGTGGGGGACTAAAGGAAGAAGATGGAGGATGAATTGGGTGTGGTAAGGTATAGATATCTTAAAATGAATGGTTCAGATTTGTTAAAGGTATAATTAGATTTTGGATAAATTAAAATGAATGGTTCAAATTTGCTAAGAGAAAGATGGTTTAATGTCTAAAATATCCGTGGCTAAGAGATCAACAAATAATTCCTTATTTATATCCTAATGCAATTTAATATGGGTCTTATAACACTTTCTTAAAACAGGTTTTTTCACATTTTATTTTTTCAAACAGGCTCTTATAACATTGCAATCAAGTTCTTGTAACATGTATGGGAGAGAGAGTGAGAGAGAGATGGTTGTAATTTTTTTTTAATCTTTCACGTTCTTCCACATTTTTTTTTTCAATTACTAAAATTTATTTGATTGTCTCAAAATTATATATTTGATTATTATAAAACAAACTTTTTAATTAATTAATTAATGTGTATTTGATTTTGTTGTTGAAGCAAATAAAATAAAATAAGATTGAATGTATATTTAGCTTTTGTTGTGAACCTTAAAAAAAAATAAAAATAAAAATAAAATAAAAAAATAAGTTGTTAACATTAAATATATTAAAAAAGAAAGCAAAAAGATTAAAGGTATATTTAGCTAAAACCTTTAAAAAAAAAATTTGTTAACATTAAATATATTTAAAAAGAAAGTAAAAAGATTGAAGGTATATTTAGCTTTTGTTGTGAACCTTAAAAAAAAAAAAAGTTGTTGACATTAAATGTATTAAAAAAGAAAGAAAAAAGATAGAAGGTTGTTAACATTAAATATGTTAAAAAAAAAGATTGAAGGTATATTTAACTTTTGTTGTGAACCTTAAAAAAAAAATTTGTTAACATTAAATATATTAAAAAAGAAAGGAAAAAGATTGAAGGTATATTTAGTTTTTGTTGTGAACCTTAAAAAAAAAAAAAAAAGTGATTGTTAACATTAAATATAAAAAATAAAAATAGAGATTAAAGTGGATGGGGAAAAATCCATACCCATTAAGAAATGGGGAGGGTGGTACCCATAGAAAATGAAAAATGGAAAAAATTTATTATAAGGGAATGGACATGGAGAATTAATATCCACCCCATTGCCCTCATTGCCATCCCTATCCATTTCTCGACCTGGGTATGAGATTTCAGTATCTTTAAATAAAAACTTTAAGAGACTGGTCTTGCGTTCAATTATATGAAACCAATTACTTAAAATTATGTTCCAGAAGGGTAGACTTTGCTTTTCAAGAAAAATAATAGGGAAAAAAATTCAGTTTTAATTTAAACTAATGAAAAATTTTAAGATAAATTACCAATATACCACCTAAAATTTACTTAAAATACAAATTACTCTTAAAATTTACTTAAAATACAAATTGCTCCTATAATTTAAAAAATTACAGATACCTCCTTATTAAAAAAAAAATTTAACAAAATTAATTGAAAAAATAAAATTTCTAACTTTTCACTTACATAATAATAAAATAATCTAAATTATTAATTAATTTTTTTTTAATATTATTAAAAAATTATTAATTAACTTAATAATTTATTAATAAAAAGACATTTATTATGAAATTAAAAACTTTAAAGACATAATGTAATTTTTTAAATCACAAAAATAATTTATAATTTAAATAAATCTCAAAAAATATATTTATAATTTAGTTAAAAATATATTTATAATTTACCTAAAAAATTATAATATTAGAAACAAATTACTCTTAAATCTAAATTGAAAAATAATGGTCCATCCAATTTGGTCCATCCAATTTTAGAATTCAAACCAAATAGCCCTATCTATCTTGTATGCATTGTATTTTCTTGATTTGGAGTGCAATTTTATTTAAATTTTTTCCTAATGTTGACCATGTGTAGATAAAGTAGATTTCTACATTTATATATATATGTATATATTTGTGAGTGAATAATGTTACCCCATTTATAGTGTTATTAATACATTATTTGTTTTTTTTTATGATATTCGTCCCTATTATAACATTGATATTGGTTAACATCTAAATAATCCAAACTACTAACACACTACAATATTCCCAATAATCATAAAACAAACATCACGATGACAATGCACCAACTAAAACCTCAATGTTACATCACACAATCATTGTCTGACAACAAAAATGTCAAATGACATCTACACATACAAAACCCACAATAAAATAATAACCACACCACCAAAATCTTAATATACTCCAAACCTACATTACCATTCACATATAACAACAATACAATGCAAATCTATAACATTATCGACTAGACATTACATATAAAAATAAATAAAGATATTGTCAACACAATCAAAATATTGATATTTATCACAAAAAAAAATATATATATATATATATCAAAACATACACCTAACACTATTGCCCACTAGCACAACCCCCAGGACGACGCAATAAACGTACACAAGCCAATTATACGTCAATAACATCAACTCAACAACAAAATGATGACGGTCTCAATCCCAATCATTGTTTTGATAGAATTGGAGATTTATATTTAACATCGTCAAAACCAAATAAACAACAGAGAAAAAAATTTACACCCATTAATATTTGAGAACCACAATATTTCAGTCTTCGTGTCTTCCATTTTGATCGAGATAGAAGTAAAATAGAAAATGACTATAGTAAATTTTTGAACACAAACATAATTTTCACTTGATCAAATCTCTAATTTAACCATATCATTTAAGACATCTCAACCTAACACCTTGCACAAAAACCTAATTACCACTCAAATGCATAAAATAAAATGCAAGACTATGAGATGATTGATGCATTTCCTTAATTTTAACTACTAATATTTATAAATTTCACCACTTTATTTATAATTAATTTTAAAAATGTATACTTAATGAAATTTTCACTATGACACAAGGCATATAATTTGATCAAATTTTTAACCGAGACAAATGTTCAATTTTTAAATAACTTCCTGTCTAATTTTTATAACTTTAAAAAAAAAATTGATATAAGCCAAGTTTAAAAAGACTAAATAAGTGCACTTTTTAACTTTTTATAAAATATTAGTTGAATTTGAGTTAAGTTTGAAGTAATTTGTTAGAAAAGTAATGTGACTTAGATAAGATGATATGACTTAAATAAGATAGTGACTTTTTAACTTTTTAAATTTTTTAAAAATGCCAAACTTGGCCTTATTCTCATTTTTAGTTGTATAATAAATTTAAAAAAAAAAAAACATAAAAGTAGAAAAAAAAATTAACTCAAAAAACAAAGAATCTTCTAATCTTACTACAAAATTAAGGAAACATTTTCAAACAAACAATACTTTCTTTATTTCCTTTTCTGATTTCTGTACTTAACGCCACTTACAAATTTGTGTTAAATTGAAAATTCAGTAGATAATGAATTTAGCATATTCGAATCCCAATTTTAGCCTAGCTCTTTATGTTATAAAGTAAATTTTTAGGTTTTTACAGTGTTCATAAAACATAAGAACTTCAGATTTTTAGCACAAACAAAATGGAGATTATTAGAGAACAAGTAAACATCCAAATGTAGTGCTCTTATTTGGCTCCAATCTCGTGGATATTCAAGAGAAGAAGTTGATGAAAACACATAATTTATGAGTTTTTTCAGTCCCTATACACCCACATTTTGTAGAATTTATTTACAAGGGCAAGGGAATAGTTAAAACTCAAATATAGAAAATAGTTCTTCAACAACATTTGTTCAATACAACTAAAAAAACAGTCAAATCTTTGCCTCACCCATTTTCCCATTCAAACCAGTGTTGTAATTTCAAAATTCAATAAAAACACAAATAAAATACTAAAAAAAAGGGAGAATGAGCCTCAGTGAAATCCAGTAAAGTCATATGAAATGTAGCTTCACCAAGTAGGTTCTCCCTGTCAAGACAGGGGCTTGGCTCCACTACACCTCAAACAAGTGGATTATATCATCACTGGCAGTCAAACAAAATGTGAAGGCTCAGAGTATGTAACAGCTTATCAATCAAGAATTTTCAGAAGCAGAACTGGCATTTTATAGCTGTAGAATAATCTTCACTGCCAATAACGAAATCGCAAACCAAAAAATAAATCCAAAAACAATATAAACATAACTCACAAATTGAAGTCAGCTCATATCAAGAAATTCAACCATCGTTTCCGTTTATGCTTCATTGATTACTCTCAGAAGCGCGGATAAAATATAATCATCGCCGATAATATACTATAAAAAAATACAAAATTTTCTTGCAGCTAATTTTCTCGAGAAAATTGAGTACTATATATAGCGGATGTTTTTAGAGGCAAAACGATAATAAAGAGTTGAACCCCCACGTTAACACCGCCGAGATCGATCTATGCCCCCATGACTAGACCTTTTTTCATAATTTAGATCTGAAAAAAAGCTAAAGGTGTGGCGGGGCAAATAAAAAGAAAATTAAATTCTATAAAAATTAATGGATGTAGCCGCCAAAATGACACAAATTGAGCCACGGAAGAGAAAGGTACAAAGGCTAAACTGCAACACTGGAACGGCGAGCATTCTAGCACGAGCTTTGGGGCGTTCATCGTCATTGAAATTGATTCAGAGACGCCCGGGAGAGATCGTGCAAATCAGAGAGAAAATAACAAGAAACAAACAAGTCTATACAGATAAAAGTATCTATCAACAAAAACAAAATACATGAGAGAGAGAGAGAGAGAGAGAGAGAGATGTAGGTCCCCAAAGGCTTAAATGTCGAAGAAAGGAAGCCCCTTCCCACAATCACCAGAAAATGCTTCGATGATCAAAGACTCTCTGTTCTTGTTAGGGTTTGCAGGATCAGTCCTCTGATTCTTTATAATAGTGTAGAAAGAAAGAAACAATAAAGCTAAAAAAGAAGAAGAAGAAAAAAAAGCATTCCAAAGAAATTATGGACTGTGTTCACATGGTTTTGCTTATAAACTGTGTTCTTGAATTCCCTCACTTCTTCCCATATATGCCCTTTTAAAAGAGAAAGCAGATTACTACTTACTTTAGGAATTCAGATTACTACTTACTTTAGGAATTCAAATTTTAAACAGAAGCAAGAAACAAATTAGTTATCAATAACCCTCAATTAATTGGCACTTGAACTTCACTTTCAAATATGGCAGCAAGATAACAAAAAACACCCACAATGATAATCTAAATCAAATCACACAATGAATTCCAATAAAATTGCATAATACATATTCAAATGTTACACTTGTACAAAAAATCAAATAGCCATTTTGGTGTGAATTTTTAATGTATTAACACTAAATCCATCAATCCACATATAGAATAGACGCAATACACAAATTAACTGCCATCAATCTAAAATGTAAAATTAAATATAGCTATAGGACAGCAGCAATCATTTTATGGTCCTAATTCAAATCATATTAAATAATGAATAATGAATTTACCTTTATAACTATAACTCATGCCTCAATTTGGAAGTGCTGACATTGGTAAATAAAAAATTACAAACTTCAATCAATGTGAATTTTTCCAAAGAAAATGAGCATATCCAACCAACATCCAACCAACAGTGGTTGAGTATTTAGCATGAATAAGGAAGAAGATTAAAAAAGCAAAATTACTTTAGGAACATGACATATTTCAAAAAATTACTTAAGAACATAAAGTCTAGATAGAAGTATTTAGGAACATGACATATTTCAAAAAATTACTTAAGAACATAAAGTCTAGAAAAAAAAAAAAACAATCAGTGTGTTTGGTTTCAGTTTTCTGAATTCATTTTTTTTGAAAATTGAGTTTTTTTATTTTTTGTATTTTTTATTTTTAGTGAATATTTTTAAAATTTTAAGTAATTTTTTTTACTTTTTTAAATTCACCTTACTTAGATGTATATGAATAGTAAAAAAATTGTGAATTTTTTTTTTAAAAATTAATAAATACACAAAAAATATAAAAAAATATACTAAATTTTCGTATTTTTTGGTAGTTAGTGTATTTTTTAAATATTTTTTTCACAAATATTATACTTTTTAAGTGTATTTATATTAAGTGTGTCTAAAAATTAAAAAATTTGTTTAAAATATTAAAAAAATTCATTCAAAACATTAAAATATGAAAAATAAAAAAATAAAATTTTTAAAAAATTGAAAACAAACCCGCTGAATTATGCTTTTTTAAATTTTCTTGCTTTTACAAAAAGTTTAGAGCAAATTCTATTTGCACACCTTTAATACTGTTAGTACACAATATCAATCTATTTTTTTATTACAATTTATTCCACAATCAAATTGTTTTTTATGACAAATTTCTAAACAATAATCTCTCACTATAGACCACCACTAGGGGTGTGCGCGGTGCGGGTCGGTGCGGTTTGAGAGAAAAATAAAAACCGTATGGGTGGCGGATTGATAAAAGTGTCACTAGAATTTGCCATTTTCCTTATCAAAAACCGGCGGTTCGGTTGGCAAATAATGGCAGATTTGCTTTGGCGGTTCGGGCGGATTGGCGGTTTATAAAAAATATAATTCAAATTACAAAACTTAAATCAAAGAGTAAAAAAAATATGAGAGATACCGTGATGTTAAGCATCTTGCGAAACTTTCTTCTGATGCAACAAGTATAGCAACAACATGATAATATCAACGACTATACCATCAGTTCATTACAAGTATTTGTGGCAGCTACAATGATCAAATACAATACATAAAATTAATATCATTCAGGGTTTACAATATATTGAAAATGCTTACTGTTGAAAAGTATTTAGATTGAAAAGTAAGCTGATGCAAGTTTGCAACATGGCCAGAAAAAAAAATATATTGAAAAGTGAATTGGAATCCAACTTTATTTTGGATTACTGACATCTTGAATTCCCCTCGAGCAGTAATGTAATACTATATTCTAAGGTATAGAACAACAAGCAAACTTAAGTAAAAAAGAATTTTTAGAATCTTATAAAATATGATTTAATAGCGGTGCGAGTCGGTGCGATTTAGAAGAAAAATAGAAACCGGCGGATTGATAAAAGTGTCACTAGAATTTGCCATTTTTCTTACCAAAAATCGGCGGTTCGATTGGCAAATAATAACGAATTTGCCTTGGTGGTGCGGTTCGATGCGATTTTGGCGGTTTTCGGCGGTATTATGCACACCCTTAACCACCACCACTACCAATCATTCCATCAACCTCCATCACCTCTGACTGCTCGCTACCACTACCATGACCCCCTCTCTAGCTATCGTCCCAACTCGCCGACCACCGCTATCACCAGTAATCCCCACCGTCATCACTAGTAGAGAAAGATATTTGGAAAACCAGATCTAAGGTTTAAAGAATAGAAAAAGAAGAAAGATGAGAAAAAAAACTGGCTATGGTAGCTGTAGAGGTTAAGATAGGGTAAAGAAAGTAAGTCAAAGGGTGTCAGAGTAAGAAAGAGCATCGTGATCGTGATCGAGATCGCAATGGAAAGTAGTGCGATCCTGATGGTAACGAATTTCATAAATGAGAGAAAAGGCCTGGAGGAGGTCATTGTAGATGGAGAAGAGTTAAAGAGGGGCAACAATGGTGGATAGCAGTAGTGATAGTGGTGTTTAGCGATGTTAGAGTTAAGGTAACAATGGTTGGGGAGGTATTGACAGCGAATGCAGTAGTTGATAGGGGTAACAAGAGGGGAGGGGGCAATGAGCAGAGGTAATGGGTTGGGAAAAAATATGGCAGTCGACGATGGCGGAGTTAGAATTTATTGCTAGTGAGGTTAATCAATAGTCAATACATTACACGAGTATTAACTTACTCAAAAAAATTAAAAATGTAAAAAGATAGAAATATCCCATTTTATTTTTATTTTGAACTAAGGGCTAGTTTAGCATGTTATAAAAAAGGTAAAAAATTAAAAAGTTACTAAAAAAGTAAAATAGTTATCACTATTCACAAATTAAAAATATAAAAAAAAATAATTTACACAAAAAAAATACAATCCAACTTTACACAGATAATGGTACTGAAATGATGGGGAAAATTACATACATACACTTTGATGGTACAAATTATAAATTAGATATATACATATATATATTCATTAAGTTGGAGGGTACTGTTGAGGCCGTGAGGGCTCACCACGGGTTCCATTTTGATAATCCGAACCTTTCAATGTGTAGAAATCGTCGAGCACTATATGTCTATAAAAAATCACGTTGATCAGATATGGATAACTATGTGATCAAATCAGATTTTTGTCATCCGTTTATTTTTCACCGTCCATTGTTTTCATACAAAATTGTTTTGATCACATAGTTATTGATATCCGATCAATGTGATTTTTTATAGGCATATAGTACTTGACGAATTCTATACATTTATCGGTTCAAATTATTGAAATGGGACCCATGGTGGGCCCCCACGGGCCCAATAGTACCTGTGAAGCCTCATGCTATATATATATATATATATATATGTTATGAAGTTATCACCATTTGCAAGGCAATCCATATTGACCTTCAATCAGCATTGTCACTCAGTCCAGGACATAGGGGTAATAATATAATTTTATTATTTTATACAATATTTTAATACACATTTTTTCGTAAAAAGACAAAAAATTATCCCAAACACACATATTTTTTCTGTCTATTTTTCTCACCAAAAAATCAAAAAGTGCACTTAGTTAGAACAACCCAAACAACCCTTAAGTTTTGAATATGAATTATATATTAAAAAAATACTTTTTATGTTAAAAGTTGGCATTCTCTTACAATAATATATAATTTAGTGGGGTTATTTTGATGAAATTTTAAAATATAAATTATGGACTAATTACATTAACGGTCCCTATAATTTGAGTCTTGCATTACTTTGATCCCTGACTTTTCAATTGTGACATATTTGACCATAAATTTTGAGTCTTGTTCCAAATAAAGATAATTGAAGATATCATTACTCAATTTCAAGGGCAAAATCGTGAATTTGATAAAATATAAACTAATTTTATAAAAATAAATGTCAAAAAAATATTTTTGAATTTTTAAAAATTATTTATACCTACTAATGATAAAATTATGTTAAATTGATATTTTTTTAGACATTTATTTATTTATTTTTATCACCAAATTAATTTTTATTATGTGTTTGGATTATTATCATGTAATAGGTGGTTATTTTTATTTTCATTAAATTAGTTTCTATTTTTTGAAAAGTCAAATATGGCGACAACTTTGATATCATTATTAAACCAATCCATTAAATCAAAAAAACTAAAACTAAAAACATTCCATACATATCGATTACACACTAAAAGTCTAACAATCACCCATTACATGATTATCATCCAAACATATAATAAAAATTCATTTAGTAAAATAAATAAATAAAAGATTTATCAATTTTACATAATTTTATCTTTGGTGGGTAGAAATTATTTTTAAAAATTTAAAAATATTTTTTGACATTTATTTTTGTCAAATTAATTTATATTTTATCAAATTGACTACTTTGTCCTTGAAATTGGGCAATGGTATCTTCAATTGTCCTTATTTAGAACAAGATTCAAAATTTAAGGTCAAATGTGTCACAATTGAAAAATCAAAGATCAAAGTGACATGAATTTCAAACTATAGAGACTGTTAGTGTAAT